AATGAGTTGTTTAAAGAGATAAAATGAAATTTTTTCCTATTTTGCAATTTTTCCAGTGATATCCCTACTTGTTTTTGTAGTTATGTGCTGTCAAGTCACCTACCACCCATAGAGGCCATATGTACAGCAGCTCTGAGCTCTGCTCTGTCCTGAGCCAGTCTCACTGATTCTGACACACCTAACCCCATTTCCCCAGTTACTGTATCATTCCATCTCATCTGGAGTCTTCCTCTCCTGAGCCATCCCTCCACCTTTCTGAGCATGATGTCCTTCACTAAGGACGAGTCCCTCCTGGAGACATTCCTAAAGTATGTGAGATGAAGCTTCAAAATCTTAGCCTCCAAGGAGAAATTTGGTTTCATTATTTCCAAGACAGACTTATTTGGTTTTTGGTAGTCCATGGTATGTTCAACACCACAACTTGAAGGCATTGTCCAGCACTCTGATGCATAACAAGTAATAAATAGTGAAGACCACGGCCTAAATTAGGCACACCTTAGTCTCTAGACTGACATTGTTGCTTTTTAGTACTCTGGAGAGATTCCTGATAGCAGATTTCCCCATACAATTCATCTTTTGATTTCCTGACTCCTGGTGTTGATTGTAGAGCCGAGCTAGCTGTAATTGTTAACAACCTCAATCTCTTTTCCATTGTTCTTTGACCTCTATGGTTTAATTTCTCAGTAACTCTCTCTCTTCCTTTTATCCTCATCTCAAGGCTTGAAGATAGCAAGATCCCTACTTGGTGCAAGCAAAATTCTCCCTCTTTATTCGTGATGACATTTTGGAAAATTTTTGACAGAATGACAAGTGACAAAATCTTTTATTCTTTAAAAAGAATTTTTTTATTTTATACTGATTAACCTACAAGCTTCATATAAATTGTTTTTTCACAGCAAGTCTTTCCCAGTTTCTTTACCCACCCTTCAAATTGTGTGACCCTATGATTACCACAACCTCCGCCCATCCTCACCCCTCTGCTCCCACTCTGCTCTGCTTTGATCCTCATACACATTTTACTAGTTATCTATTTACCAAACACTTTTTTAATCCATATTCAGCTTTATTCTGAATGAATCATATATAATATCAAGAGTGCATGTCAAATGAGTAGAAAAAAATAAAGAAGCCCATTACAAAAGTTCCATGGAAGGTGGAAGGGCGGGCACAATGTTAGGAATCCTGTTTAGAGAAAGCAATATTCTCCAGATCATGGATGCCATTTTTGTCAATAATTTGAACACTGAAGGTTGGAAGAGTCAGGATAAAACGTTTCTGGAGTTCCTCTAGACATTTCTTAAGCAGCTCCACTGCCTTATCACGTGAGATAGTTGG